TTATAGCAACTAGCAGTTTTCACGGACTTGAAAAAAGTTACATCCTTGTTTCCGCTCTCATGATAAATTTGTGGCCGGTTTCCCTCTAGCTGAAGAAAAGTTCTTGTGCTTTATGGCACATCGGTGTAAGTCAACTTTCTAGACCCTCAAAAAACGAAATTAGCAGAATCTTTAATTTTGTTTGTAAAATATGAGCGTAGTGGGGTAATTAGAAACACCAGTTCCATCAGTCACGTGCACACCGTCGTCACAGAAAAAAATACCCATGATTTTCGGCTCAGCGTAGGCTCTTCAGTGTTCAGCAGCAGAAAACAGGAGGAGGAAAAATTGCACGATTATTATGTCAACTATGAATTTATAGTTTGGTATCTTGAGAAATAGAGCACGCCAGCTGAATTTCTCCAGTCCAGAACATTTGAAGAACCACGGGACCATGGACTGTAGCTCGAAAGTGAAAGTAACTGACAACTAACCTTCTCGTACAAGTAACTGAGACGTTCGTGAACCTCTGATGCTCATAAAGTTATTTTTCCGATTAATTTTGATATCTCACATCACTAAGTTGTAAGGAAACGTTAACATTTTATAATCACAAAATGGTGTCGGTACAGTTCAATACAGCTATGCCAAAGCCCTCGGCCAAGTGGTTTGCTTTGAGAAAACAAATTTCATTTCATACAATTGCTGAAAGCCCCCTTTTTGATAGAATCATTTGCTTTTTAATGGAATATTTGCATACTAAATAATTGTTTCCACACAAAGCATTTACTAAATAAATTGGTCCAATAGTATGTTGGTACGTGTATCACATTGAACAACAACCATCACACCAATCACTAGCAACTATTTTAGGAGAAAAACTGCTTAGTGGCATACACAAAGGCGTTGTTTGCTTTTATTGGCGTTCATGCGTCTGTAGCGATCAACTTGACGAATTCTCAGGTGAACTGTAGTCAGTCAAGGGTCGTAATTAAACCATCACCAATCTTGCTAAAGCCCGAGACGAAGTCGGGGGTTCTACTGAGAACTTAAAATTTGTTCATGCAAAGCAGACTTTTTCTTAGAATCGCTTGCATAATTTAAATTTTACTTCACCGGCAAAACAGGGGTTGTCCGAAGTACCACCAAAATATGCTCGTGAGATAACACATGATTATCGACCAATCACGAGGAGATAGAGTGCTTGCTAACATCCACGAAGGCGTTGTTGGCTCTCATCAGCAATCCGAAAGGGTCCAATGAGGTATAGCTTTATATGGAACTGTAAATAACAGCAAAGATATAATTTTATAAAGTTGCATGGTAAAAAATACTTATTAATAAAATAAGTGCAGAAGACAATGAGAGATTATTAATTATCCCAAGAAATAATCAGTTCCCCTCTAACTTAAAACACAAGACATTCCCAGGCCTACCGTCTACCCTTTTCTCAAGCAAACACTAAGAAATTCCTGGGGGTTTTTTCAAGGACCTATATGTTTTTAATTCACGTGACAACGAAGTCATCAATTCTTAAACCATTTCTTCCTTCTCGCTCCTATATACAGGCGAAAAATATGCGTGTCTCGAGTAGATTTTTCTTCTCGTGTTTGTCATGTAATCTTTTTTCCCTCTCTCTCCACAAGAATATTTGCTTCTAACCATGATTTACCTTTTCCAAATATTAGTTTTTTTTTCTCAATATCACTTTGATTCATATGTTTTCAAGTGGTTAAAACTACTTTGCCCTGTAAGCAAAAGCGACGTTTTCATTGACAACTGTTACATTTCCCATCTGTCATTAAAACTATGGGTTTTCATGTTAATCTGACCATTTATGAAAAATGACAGACAAAATTTTAATAAAAATTAGAAATTTTACCACCACAGGGAGGAGAACATTTTGAAAACAATATTTTTTTATTTATGGCAATTTGAAATTGGACAATTGAATAAAATAAAAATGTAGATTTATTATCAATTGTGTCATGCTATGTTCTAAGAAGAGAGAATAATGGGGAGGGGGAATCTTAGGGAGTTGGCCGGCATAAAAAGTTATTTGATAGAGGTTGTAAATAAATGGAACTCTAATTACAGAGAAGTCCGCACATTTTATCGATTGTTTGAAATGTCATCAAGTCCACGCGCGACTTCCTCGAAGCAAACAATTCAGAACATTGTAATTCTTTTTAAACGACGCTGAATAAAAGTTTGCGGACCTCTCCGGAAAGCAACTTCCGATAGTGTTTAATTTCTCAGAAAATAACTTGGTGAAATAAAAATATGCCAAAGGCTGGACTGGGCGTCTCTCTCTCTCTCTGTCCTATTATCAGCTCTCTTGGTTCTATTATTAAAGGTCTACTTACAAATTTGTTTCATCCCTAGCCTTTTACTTTATTGACTTTCGAGCGTTCTTCAGCCTTTTTACCTCTCAGCGATAAAATTGTTATTTATGCCAAAACTTGGTGGAAATGGCGCTTCACTAGTCACCTTATGGTCATCATCTGACTATTACATTTTCGTTCAGTCATCATTTGCCCAAGTTTGCAAAATCCGACCGACCAACGAAAATCCATCCCCCTTTAAGGACAGTGCCCACTATTGTTACTGCACCATTTTCTACGCATGCCAAGGTAGTCGCGCACTACGCGAAAGAAATGCGCAACACGCAGGACACGCGGACTGGTTTTGTCTCCTGTAAGTCTGGGAGGTTCGAGTTATTTCTTTTGGAAAAGATGCGTCGTTTTTCAACAGATGAAAAAATAATTTCTATTTACCTTGTCAGTTCTTTGAAAACCGACGAAGTATGCGCCTGTTGCTATTTCTACGTATGATCGATCTGACCGAACATTTTATAGTCAAACAAAAGTCAATTAGTTATTGCTTCAAGATGTTACGCTTAGAGCTTGGGTATTAAAAAATCCCTTAATAGGCAAGGATCGGTAAATCAGAAGGAAAATAGCTCTAAGTCCTCCGCTTAATCGAGAAACTGCAAGCTTACCTTACACTTGCGTCCTTCGCATTTTATCGGCTAATCGGCTCTAAACACTTTCCCGAATATCTCTTTAATTTTTTAAGATTTTATGTAATTGTTCACCAGAAGAAAGATTTAAAGCGTTCGAGTACATACAGATGTCCCTTTTATTGAGAGTCCGAGGCTTTTATTTGTTGAACAAACAAGAAAAAACTATCACAAGATTGTTTGGATTGCTGAGATCGAAGCTTCACAAATAGTTGCGGACCGCAAAGGAAACGCTTTAATCGGGGAAAAAATGGTAAAAAAAAATTGTTATGCTTTTTACTATTATCATTGTTATTTAAGCATTTTGGTATTATTAAGCATTGAAATTATTGACTCATTGGCAGTTTGTCGTGTAGATAGTATTTCTTAAGGTTTAATTTCACGCCACACATAATCTGGACATTTAGACATAGCTGCCATTTGGCTGTTTACAAACTAAAGATGGAAGCTAAAATAAAGTATTTGCCAAACGAAATATATAAAATGATCATTATAGCCAAGTGCATATATGAGGGTACGTAAACGCATTCGGTACAACTACTTTCACACTATTCAGCTTTTTTAAAAGAGAGCTCATGTATGGAACTTGAGTCAATGCAAATCATTTATGTCATATGACACTTGTGGCAAAACCCGAAAGAGGTAGCGCAAAGCACACATATAAGCTCATTGAATGTATGTAAGTTTAATAACATATTCGATCGAGGTACCCGCTAAAATGATTAAAAAAACGATAGAAGGTTTACAATCCATATTACATCTACAGTTCAAAAAATCTTGAGGACATGTACAGGTAAGCAAACGATTGAAGGAGTACCTGTCTTAGAGTCCCTGTCGACTATTTTCCACTACAGTACAGTAGTTTGTTTACAGCACCAGCCGTGGATCTTGAGCTCGCCATACTACTCTATGTGCACTGCAAGTAAACTCTTCTCCAAAGATTTATGTTAAATGTTTGAAAAGGAGAAGCTCCAGTTGAATGAAATAGTATAATTTGTTTTCGTTAGAGTCCATGAAATGTCCTGCTTCACTTTCTGTTTTTGCTCTCCTCCGTGTGTTGTTATTTTCTCTGACTGTTAGCCATTGTGGATATCCCAGAGTACTCCGCGTTGAGTGAAGCAATGGTGAAACTGACCGGGGAGGGGATAGGGAAAATTGTAAATACCCTCCTAAGCGATTAAGTTAAGGTCGAAACCAACCAATTTAACTTTTAAAAACGCGTGGTAACCCCTACTTTTCACCTTACCAAATAAAAGTAATAAACCTACTCAGCAAACGATCAATTTTTGGTTCGGGGAAAATGGCGTTTACACTATTTTTGAGGCAAACGCGTGGAGTGGGGTAACTGCTGATAACTTCCCAGTTGTGCTGATATTTCAAAAAAAGACGTATAAAGAGCAGTTGTTATGTTATCATCTGTTGCCTATTTTGAAACCTTGTTACAATTATCGTTGCATTTGTGCCAGTTCAAATGTACACTCTGAAATTTTGGGAAAAAATAACTTTTTATCATTTTTTTTTAAAAACGCCTATTCAGCGTTTTTCTCCATTTTGAAGCGCAGTTATCTCTGGAAAATGCGCGGATACCCCCAGTTTTCTTTTTGGATTTCAATAGCCGCTGATATGATCTAATTGTCTCACATAGTCATTATCTGGGAAAAAATACTTCCCGTCCTTAATTCAAATCACGAGTTAAAAGCTATGGCGATGCATTTCAGAACTCTTTCTTGCTTATAGGACGTTTTATTAATATGCACTGATAAACACCACAGTAGCCCAGAATTAATTTCAGCTAAGGATAATATCACAACAAAGTTGATACTGTTGCTGGTTTCGCTTACCCAACACCTTAGAAATGCATTTAACATTAGAAACGTAACACTAGCCGATAAGCCGACAGATTTATACCTCATTCCATGACTCATTTAGTACTGTTCTGTTCTCTGTTTGTACTTGTGCGACAAATTTCGAATCTTTTCTAATTGTAGAAAAAGGAAACATGGCATACTTGACTGGAATCCTGATTGATGTCTCCGATTCTATGAGTAGCAACATCGGAAGCGGTACGGATAAAGAAGGAGGACCATGGGCTCGCTCGATCTTTGAGGTTATTGATAACCTTATCAAAAACGATGTTTCTTCAGATAGCCATGTATTTGCAATAGGCGTTGGGGCTAGTACTGGTGAGGACATTTTTGATGTCATAGGAACTCTTAAACAGATTCAAAATGAAGACAAAAAAACTGAGGATGGTGTTCAGAGCCCCGCTACTAGTACGCAAGTAGACATGATTTTCCGAATATTAGAGAGATCCGGCGCAGGTACTGTTCGCAAATGGGCAGCGGAAGAAGATGTAATCAGGGCATTGAAATACAGAGAGGCTGATTTGCTACTGAACAAATTGAACTCTGACAGGTCGTTTCTTGAAACATTTGTTCAAGAGATTCTACCACCAGCTTGCCGGGATTGGTCTGAAAGCACCCTGGTGAAGATGACAGGCCTATCTTTTTTTGCTAATGCAGTGCAAGGTGCGTTTGCATCAGTGACAAGCAGCTTTGTAAGAGCTACAGTTGCAGACATCAGGGAAGTAATGAATCAGGCCAAGCCTTATTTGCTAAAAGAAGAGAAAGAAAAAGTAAGTCTGTCGGGTGTGACTGTTAATTCTATTTTCAAAGTTAAAGATGCCTCAAATGTTCTTCATGGGTGCGTTGATGAAAAAGAACTCTCTAAAGAAAGGTGTCAGGAACTATTGCAGTGGGTCAAGCCTTACATTTACGGGGGAACGCCATTATATCAGTCCATTAAGGAGGCGATCAAACTATTTCAAGCTTCTAGTTTTACCAGTCACAAAAAGTTGCTGTACATCTTGTCAGACGGAGAGCCCACAGATGGAGAAACTACTGACCGTCCAAGAATAGATCGATTGACCTCTGAATTAAACACTGCAGGCGTGACCGTAGTGAGCTGCTTTGTCACTAAATCCACAGAGATTTACCCTAAACGACTGTACAGCAAAGAGATACCTGACTGGGAACCGGGCGCAAAGTTCCTGTTCTCATTGAGCTCAAAAGTGTCAACACAATCCCTACCACGCACAATGTTCGTGAAACGTGATTGGACCATCGATTTCACCGACAATGAGACACATATGTTCTTACAGGTCAACCATCCAGACCACTTGCGAGAGGGGTGCGAGGTGGCTCGAAACGTCGTTTGTTGTCAAGACGCCTTATCCGACATGCTTGCATCCGTTAATGTCGATTTCTATATCAATCAAGAAGTAACGGACTGTAAAGCAAAATTACAAGAAGGGGAGACCTGCGCTGCAAATGCAGCTGCTACAGTGCTTCATTTGTCCATGACAAGAATTCGTGGACGCGAAGGTGGATGTCCAGATTTCTGTACACTAAGAGACGAAATTGTCAAAGAATTTGATCCTAAAAAGTATCCAAAGGGTGTTCCTACCATCCTTGTGCTACAGAAAATGTGCCCGAAGTACCGCCTGCGGTGGAAGGAAGTCAACCACAAGGAAGCCATGCAAGCAGTCGCTTCAAGTCGGCCAGTGGTGGCAACATTTAGGCTCACTGAGAAGGAGTGGGATAGTTTTGAAGATTTCTATGAAAGTTACCCAAAAGGCATTTTGACGACGAAGGAGATCGATATAACAGCCCGTCGTCCCAAAACTCCCGTCTTTGGCCATGCAGTTGTGTTAACCAGTTTCGACAGTGAATGTTTACGACTGCTGAATTCCGGGGGAGAAGACTGGGGGGACATGGGATTCTTTCGAGTGCAGGAGGCAGACGTTCTTGGATTACAATTCTTCGACGTTTACTGGACAGAAGATGATTTGAAAGAGGAAGAAAAAACCTATTTCAAGAAATTTGGATACATCAATGCCGGGATATTAATGGAATTGTTGCCAAGTCTTAAGGATGCTGAATACACGTGCCCCATAGCCAAATGCAGCAAGAGATCGCCAGTGGTGGACTTCACCGGAACTTTGTCACACGCAAAGTGTCCCAAATGTGGCCACGAGTTTTCTACAAAGAATGCCAAGGAAGGGAACATTTTGGCCCTTAATATTTATCTTACTTCTTTAATCAGCTGAGTTTCCTAACTAACTGAAAACTCATTTGAAGAAAGGACATCTATGACCAATCAACGACAAGGATATGTGCAGCCACCGAAATGATCCCCAATTAAGGGTTGGGGATCATTTCGGGGGTTGTACAGATACCCCACCACTGCAATAATTCGGGATGTCAGTTTATCAACATGCGTGTTTTTACTTTGATATATTTAAAAAACGTTGATAGAAGTCAAATGTATATTCTGTATTTCTTAGCTCTACAATACTTCTAAGGCCTACTGTTTTAGCAAAGCGAGGTGTGACCCGGAAATCGAAGTTAAGTTCCGTAGAATAATCCCGACGACGCCCTAACATTTAGAAGTGACATAAGAGCGAGGGTTTTTTTTATAAGGAGCAACCAGGTTCGTGCAGAGACTGTCATTTCAGTGGTGTAGCTAACAATTTCCCAGAGATACATGCAGTTTTGTTAATCAGCCGTACCCCGTCTTCTATTAAATCTTTCTCATGCGGGTGACTTGATTGAATGTGCCCTTTTTATTGAATTTTGAGAAAATTTATGAAATAAGAAAACAAATAAATGCAGGGTCCAGCATGAATTGTTTTAGGACGGCTAGTTGCTTCTTTTCAGTGTAAATATTCCTTATTTTAATGAGTGTTTACTTGAAACTTTCCATGTTTATAAGTATCAGGGCAGTTTTTTATTAAACAAGTATATTTCATGTAATACGTATCTCGGCTGTGGAACAAATCTGTAAAAACGTGTCTTGTTGTTGTTAGTTTTTACATCAGAAAAATATTTTTCTTTTCTCGCAATGTAAGTAAACTAACTGTTTAAACGGTTTAAGAAGTTTTGGAGTGAGGCCAACCTTGACAAATGGGGCTAACTGCCGACAGCCGAAATTAACTGTCTCAGCGTTTAATATTTACTAGATGCTAATAAGGGTAAAGTAAATTAAAGTTTGAGAGTCCTCGTACTTACATACACTTTTCTCCCTTGATCCCAGCCACTTGCTGGAGTAGCCTGACTATATTACAATTTTGGAAAGTGTTAGTTATCCTACTATTTCTTTTGCAATGAGGTGACCGTTGATGAACAATCAAAACGTCTCCTAGCTGCCTTGGGTCAACTTAGAGTTGACAGAACAACCTTTTGTTTGATCAGAAGAGCAATTTATGTAAAACATACTGAGATATACACAACAAAATACTATGTCGTATAAAACTTTCATACACAAATGAGTTTTCGATGTTTTTCACAGCTGAGAAGTAATGGTTCACCCAATCAGAATCCCAGTCATTCAACGACAGTATTTGTAGCTATTGAGACTTAAAGCTTACAGGAGAGTTTTTCCCGTAGAAAAAAGTTAACGACTATTCGGAAATTGGACAGTACATGGCAATTTGCGTATATTTCAAAGTTAAAATAAGAAATTGTAGATAGCATGCAAAACAACAGTGGAAGGGGAAAAGCAGAACGAAACGTAAGATAGAGTTCCACTATTTTGTCTTTTGTTATTCAAATCGAACTTTTCGCTAAAATTGCCACTGATTCGGTATTTGATCTTTACCTGTAGATTGAGAAGATTACCTCCTTTATGCTACTACTATGTGAGACATTTCTGCAATTTGATTGGCTTAGAACAGTGGTATTTCAACTTAATTTGAAATACCTACATGTGAAAATTACAAAACCTTTGCGGGTAGTAGTATGAACAAATAATAACTGCATGATTTGTACGTGATATTTGGCATAAATCCCACTTGTGATATTTCAAAATTGTCTCAAATTTCACTCACCTGACGGCTCGTGAAATCAGGTATAACAATTTCGAAATATCACTCGTGGTATTTATGCCAAATATCACTACTAATCATGCTATTAAATATACCAATATGCTCTTAAATTTTTCTTAAAAAAATTCTTAATAGTTTTTGAAATATCGTATTGTTTTCTTTGCCATTTCATTTTTTGTGTAGCTGCTGCTTTATTATTTAAGCACTTTGGTAAGATTTAAAATAAAAGGCTGTCATAATATTTTATGTCTGAGTATGTATATAGTAAAGATAATACCACGAGGAAAATACCCTAATTGATTTAGACCTTTAAGGAGACGGCAAGCACGTGAAGCATCCCTCCCCCTTTCCCCTCCCAGAGACTTTTCCTTTCTCATTTTTGGGGGAGTATTTAACTTTCTTTATTATTCAGCGTTCTTAATTAGAACGCGAGTAGTCCCTAATTTTTATCAGGGATGCTAAATCAAGCGAACTACTCCAGCGCGCGTGAGAATCACTGCGCGGAAGGAGAGGCGAAACGCGAAGAAAGGAGAAGAGGAAAAAAATTCTCAATCCCCTCTGCGCGTCAGGCCTGTTTCAAACTTCGTGCTACTGCCGTTCTGAAGTCAACTGACCGAATTAAATTCGACTTAAGTACGGCAGTGGAACGGTGTTTGAAACAGGCTTCAACTTTATTTTTACCAACTGTCAGTGTAGCAAACAAGAGGACAGGAGGATTGACATAAGGTAGACATACTGACAGTACACTTGTTTTCAGTATTGTTGGGCCTTTTTTCCTCTGATTATTGCATGCCTGTCTTGAAAATTTTCTTTACATTGCTCACAAATGGTCTATTATTGTTTTATTTCTTTTCCGGGAGCGGAAAAAAAATACGTTAAGAGGAAAGAAATCCTAGACGTCGATTAGTTTGAGATGATACGAGCACGCTTTAAAATCATTAAGACCATCGGCAAGTTTCTTGTGATCGCGGCTTTTGGCTTTACGTTGATTGAATTGCTCTTATATCATGACGCTCTTCACGCATTCAGCTATACATCAAGACTTCCCTCAAAGAGTCGCTTAAAGGGGCTGTGTCACGGCAGTCCAGTTCAATTTGTTTAATTTTGCCAGTTACCCGCCCTCAATCGCTACGGAACTTAAAGTAAGCAAAGAAATTACTTGTAAATGACACAAGCAGAGATTCGAGACAAACAAATTTGTCTTCTGAGCATTATTTTTGAAGTTGTAAACGGCAGAGATCAACTTTGAAAAACTGTTAGGCTGAACAGTTTTCAAAAACTCTAATTTCAATCCGTTTCCATCTTCTTCAGTTTTGCCCATCCGTGGCATCTGTTGTATCTGTTGTGTTATTTTTACCTTCCTGCAATGTTTTAAGCGGTTATTTTCACGTTTCTCTTAATTTAAGGGGCATTTTGTAATTACATAATTTGGCTGAATTTCGTGACACAGCTCCTTTAAGGCATCAAAAAGAAAGCAGAGGTACTATGCTTTGTCCTTGTGAGAAGGAAATTGTCACAAAGAGGGAGATGCTTCACTCAAGCGATATCATGCATTGCTAAAAAATGTTCTAAGCCAACAACACCAACGATGACAACAGTTTTAAACCACATTTTTAATTTATTTAAACATCGGACATCTCTGAAAACAAGGGTAAGGTGGTAAGATTTCCACTTTTGATCCTAGTTCCATCCCGTCCTCTGGATTTTCAAAACAGGAAAGTGATACGGCAGACTTGGGGCACCGATCATAACATGAATAATTCTTGGAAACCAATGTTTCTGTTTGGTCAAGCACGACACCCTTCAGCGAATAAGTATTTAGGTAATGACGCAGCGATACAAGGGGAGCTTGTGCAGGGAAGCCAGCTAGACTCCTACCACGATCTTACGTTGAAGGTTCAAATGGACTTTGATTTTGTTTTACTCTCGAAGGCTTATGATGATGTGTTTATCAACCCCTTCACTTTGATAGTTCATTTAAGAAGTTCACAAACGCCGAAAAGTAAGCTTCATCAGGGAAACTATCCTCCAAACGAGAATATCCAAGAAGGGAGGGGAAGTGGGCGTTGTCATACTGAGCTGTTGCCAAAGATTTTGCTTAGGTCCAGCATATGTTTTATCTCATTACCTCGTACAAGCTTTTGTAGGGGTATTTGATACCAGGAGTCTCCTAAAGCTTGAATACGTTTATATGGGGTTGCTGGCGAAACGCTTTGGTGTATCGCCAAGGCGTCATCGTGGATTCATGACAGATTCATTGAATGGAGGATTCTTTTTTCCGTTCAAGCCTAGTTCGCTTTATCATTAAGTTCAAGTTTATGGTAGCATAAACTGTTGTTAATAAACCTGAGAATGATGCCCTATGAAACCACACTTAGGACATACTAGCAACAATCATGTGTCGGTTCTTATGTCACACAACGTGCAACATTTGTATAAGCTTTTGTACTAAGTAATGGTAGGTACTAGTTCAAAGTACAAGAAAGAACAATGAACACTAACTAGTTGTTTGATTACAATGTATCCTTCTTCTTTGGCAAAGTCAACTGTAATGTAGCATGATATATTACTAGACGCTACAAAGGTTCCATTCATATTATCACATGCTTATCAGGCACTAGTGCTCCTCTTTTTGCCGTACACTGTCCTTTCCCGGTCAGTTCGTTTAGAGCTTCGGTTCATTCACAACAGCGTTTTTTCGTCTGGTCTACTTCCTCACAATTCGCTTCGCTTAAATCGACTTACATAACTTAGTGTACCATGCCAAGGCAAAAGAGGAACATCAACCGTCGAAATGCCGTATTGAATGGCGGCAACGTACTAGCAGAACAAACAGACTACAGCGCCATGTCTACCGAAGCTCTTCGCCTCATGCTGGGACAACGTCACCTCCACCAAACAGGGAATCGCCGCGAACTTATCTCGTGACTACAACAGAATGAGCAGCAAAGACCGCCCGCATCACAATCAGCAAGTGCCCGGTCCAACTCCAGTATCACCACCGGCGTTCCACACGCGGAATTGGCTGCCTTAATCACCTCCATAGTGGACGAGTGGATGAACCGCCAACTAATCCAAGATGGCGGTGCCAGCAATGCCAGTGCTCAACTCAATCAACCCAGTCCTCCGAGTAACTTTCAGGACAACCTCAGGTCCAGTCCTCCTCCACCGACACAAGATGGCGGCCAAAACACGACCCATCAACAACAACCTTCCATTCAAAA